CGGGCAGCTTCCTGGTCCCGAGGGACTGTGGGAAAGCGGCCCGCGGGCCAGGTGAGGAGCCGGGCACCCGGAGTCCTGCCCTGGGACCGGGTTCCTTCTCCACAGCGATGGCTTCGGCTGCAGTCCTGTGGGGCTCACCCGCTCACTTAGCCGCTCAACAAACTCTCTGCGTCCCCCCAGAGCCCATGCTCGACCCCAGGGTGTCCACAGCCTCCGGGGCCCCTCGAGAAACTCTGCTAGGAATGGCTGAGCCAGGCCGAGAAGGGATCTGAGGTGGGGCTGGAGGAGGGCTTCTCAGAGGAGGTGAATGCAAACTGGCGGGTGTGGGAAGGGCACGCCAGGCGGAGGGAAGAGCATGGACAAGGCCAAAGTTTGGGGTGTTGAGAACTGAGAACCCTTGGTGGGGTTGAGTCTGGAGAGGGGCGGTGAAGCCCCAATCTCGGAGGGCCTTGCAGGTCATCATAAGGCCCTGGGGCACCCCAGAAGGGCTGGGGGTGGGAGGAGCAGGATGAGATGTGCTCCAGGAGGGCCACCCTGGCTCGTGTGCTGGAGGGTAGAGACCCCTGCGAGTGTCCCAGAGCTGGAAGGACCGGAGGGGCCAGAGGGACTCTGAACTGGGAATGAGCCATAAAACAGGCAAACCTTTATTAAGCACCCACTGTATGCTGGGCTCCACACCTGGTGCTTGGGCTAGTCAGCCCACAGAACCGACTGCCCCATGTAGCTGGCATTACAGTGCGCCTGAGTGCCCGTGAGTGTGCGTGTGTGTTTGCGCGTGTGCGTGTGGGAGAGGCAGCCGGCACTCAATGTGTGCGGCGGGCTCTTAAGTAAGTGACCTGCTGATGAGCGCGCAGGCCGGGCTCGGGGCACAGCAGGGCCCTGGCGGGGCTCCGAGCCTGCCTTCTGTTCTGCAGGGGACCCCGGCCCAGGGGCTCATCGGGGATGGGCCGCTTCTGCAGTCTGGACAAGGTGACAGGGACTCGGATGGGGGGTGGCGGCTGAGGGTGCGAGGGGTGGGATTCTGCACATGCAGCGAAGGAGCGCTGACGGGTGTCCTGATGGGCTGGGCGTGGGCCGGAAGAGCGGCCATCACGGAGCTGNGGACCCGCTGGCGCTCAGGGCTCGGGTGGGTGGAGACCCGGGTCCTGCAGGAGCGTGTGATGTGGGCGGTGGTCTGAGCTGGAGCTGTGAGTTGGGGTGTCGACTGCATCCAAAAGGGCCCTGGCTGGAGTCGAGCCCAGGCGTGGGGTGATGAGGGGTCCCGTGGAAAGTGCTGGGAACAGTGCCCATCACTCTTATATTCCCCGGGGGCCCCCCTCAACAGTCACCCCTTCAGGGGCTCCAGCGAGGGCTTGGCTGGGGCTGGGCCAGGGCAGGCGGCAAGGTCCCAGGTGGGTCCCCTGCCTGCCCCTCAGCCCAGGTGAGTTGCAGTTCCAGGCCTTGGCCAGGAGGGGGCGCCCACAGCAGCCACCTCCATGCTCCCCAGCCTCAGGTGCTCCTGTCCCCGTGTCCCTGGGCAGTCAGGCTGCAGCTTGGTGGCCTTGAAATCATGGCCTTATGAGGGACACCCCGACCTCTGCAGCCCTGTCTTAGAGGTGGTTGGGCCGAGGGTCCAGGAGGGCAGCCTTAGACCCTCGGTAGGTGCCCATGAGGGGCTGGGCTGGCAGGTGCCAGGGAACCTTCCAGAACTGGGATCTGTGAGCAGACTCCCGGGTTAGGGTCTGGGAAGGGGCTTGGAGGCGGGTGCAGGGGCTGGACCTTGTCCAGCTACATGTTAGTCTAATTGACCCTGTGGATGGGTTCATGGGACTGAGGCCTTCAGCCACACGGCCACATCCCAGGCACCCGGGCGTCCCGGCGGAAGGCGGGCGGCCTCAGGGCCGAGGCCGGGGGTCCCGGGGTGGGCGAGTGCAGGCCTCTTACTCATGGCCCAGTGCTGGGGCGCAGGGTCCCACATGGTGAGGTGGGGTCGCTCAGGGTTCACACCAGCCAGTGGCCATAACTGAGAGGGACAAAGGCCTTGATGGGGAGGCTGCCGGGGGCTGTGTCCTGGTAAGAGGCCAC